TACAAGATGGAGGGGCACACAATAGTCTTCCTTCAAACCATTGTAAGCCAATCCGCTCGGGGTAAATCGTTGGAATACCACCCAATGGATCATTCTACATCCAGACTCGAATTCTGGATGCAGTGCGGCGCCCTCTTCGGAGGCTATATCGGCTGCCAAGTGACCGATGGTTCGTGATAAGAAGGGTTTCGAGTGGTCAACCGCTTGCGGTCCTGGGACGGGTTGATATCCTTGGTCTGGGCGTTTTGGGCCGACTTCGCTTTTGGATTGGTTTGCTTCCACACCAAAAGTCATGGATCTTGTGTGTAAAGGAGCGTCCCTTCCGGAGGCTGCAACAGATACGAGTTGATCATTGGACCGTGGCAAGAGTGCCCTGAAGCGACCGGTAGTCCGTGACCTTACGGGGCCTCTATGTTGTCTTCGATAAGAGCATTTAATCCTTCGATTTTGGCAGCGTTGGCATGGCGATCCCGAGCTGCATCTCGTCTTGGACGTAAAACATTGATCGCATATCTATGAAGAATGAATAAGCTTTATTGCTAGTCTAACTCGAGTCCTTACTTTCTTAAGACCGTGAAGGGATAACAAAGCAGATCAGAGAGTCCTTAAGACCTCGACTCACTTTTACGATTCGTGGTTCGTCTGCAGATACGCATTCTTTGCATAGCTGACCTCCTTCGTAGGCCGGTTTCTGTTTCCAGCAGCGCTGGCAAGTCCTGGCAGATCATTAGATTGTACTTATAGAGAGCTGCGAGCTTACTGACATGGTAGAGTTCGCCTTCGTATCGAGAAGCCTGTGGCTTGTACGACTTCCAGCAAAGTCCCGAGGCAAGGAAAAAGCTGCTTATTTATATTAAGGGCGTCGAGGCTCCGACCAATCAGAGAGGAATAGGTGCTGGTAGTAACGAGGCACTCAGTCCAAAGACCCCGGGATTCAGGTACACTGTCGTCTGCAAGGCACATGCTTAGGCCCTGAATCCTGGGTTTCTCTTAGTTTGGTACGATGACGCAGATAACAGTATCCGTGATACATTCCGGACTCTCAACGCTAGTGGTATAATGTAAGTTTCACGTTGAATGAGTCCAGCAGTCTGAGGATGCTGGCCAGTCTGGCCTTGAATGTTGTCCCTCAAACCCTTAGGTGCTTTTCATATCGCTCCAACCATGGGTACTCGCGGCCAAGTTTCTGACACCGGCATGCTCGTCGCCGCTGTATCTCCCAGCCTTCTTCCCATTTTCACCCTAGTCTACCTCCAGAAACGAAATTAAGACTTCCTGCCAAGTAGATGGTTTTGATGGGCGGTTACTCGGCCCATAAACACCCCTGCCGGAGCTTCTGGAGCTAATGCTGCTACAAGGTAGGCCAGCAAGCCACCATGACCCCCGTCTTGCTCGCAATACGTACATATACGCATTACCCGACTCACCGACCTAAGCCATCCAGGACTTTAGGAAACTTACCTTGAAGTCTGTTAGCAAGCAAGGAACTTACACATCAGCCAGAATTGTCGTTCGTGGCATTC